TTAGACAACGGTGACGACTGGAAGGGAGGGAAGAGGGGAGATAGGGGGAAAGGGAAAGAAGAATCGCCATGGATTCGCCCGTGGCTGTGTAAGAGCTGCACAAAACGCATATTGTCACGAGACTATCTGTGTGTATGTGTCCGATGCATCTTGTTCTTGTTGTGCTCTGTTTCCAGTGGTACCTTCCTCTCGTCATATCTGGTGGCAGACTGTTTCAAGGGAGATAGGGGGGAGGGGTGGCCGGAAAAAATCACGGGTTTTCTTTTGAATAAAAGCCAAAACCCCCGTAAGTACCCAGCCTTTCTATGTGCTGTGATAGCAATCGAAAGTAGCCTGATTGGTAGCGTTTACCAAGAGATTTTACTATCTGGGCAATACTGTTAATAATTTCTTTTTTTTGGGCTAAAAAAATAAAAATCGCAAATTTTTTGAGATTTTTTGCTTTCGTGGGTCCGAAAACTTAGCTTGTATGACTGAGGACAGTTGGAATCTGGCATACTCTGCTTAAAACCAAAAAAAAAAATTCTCAATTTTTGATGAATCTTGTCAAAATGAGCATTGTTTCTTATTTTTTACGTTCATTTTTCCGGAAAATTGCAAAGTTTTTGGCTTTTGAAACTGCTTTTTTGAGTCAGAATTTGAATTTTTTAGTTGCTTGGTTAAATATCACTTTTGGATTGAAATTCTAAATTTCTCCCTTTCCGCGCTAGGGGTTTTGGCGTACTCTATCAAAAAAAGTCCTCTTTTGCGAATGCTTTTCTGCAGCAGGAGTCCGACAGAATTTTGCTTGACCCACGAACTTTGAACACTCTAAATTGTTAAGCTCCAGATTTCGGTTTTTGCATATTTTTTCATAATTTCATTGGGAGATGTTTAGAAACGAATGTCCATCGGCGAAATCGAATTTCCGGAGGTGTACGAGAATGGAAAGCCGAAAATCGGCGGTCTCATGGACCCACGACAGGGTGTAGTGGATCGCCGGGGACGTTGTATGACTTGCGCCGGCAGTCTCTCTGATTGTCCGGGGCATTTTGCTCATATTGAACTGGCGAAACCAGTTTTTCACATTGGGTTTTTGACCAAATCGTTGAAGGTGAGTTTTTCAAACAGTTTTTTTTTTTTTTTTTTGCATGTTGTTGGATTCTGAGGAAATTCGATAGTCGTTTAGCGGTATTGTTTCGTTCATCTTTCGACTATGTTATTTTTTCGTTAAAAAAAAAAAATAAAAGAACACTCTGGGCATCTAAAGAAGTAGTGTACGCTGCAGGGATGAGTGTATTCAGTTTGGAAATTAATTTGGAAGAA